AAAAAAAAAAAAAAAAAAAAAAAGAGCCTGGATGATCAGGTAACCTACACACACAAAGCAGCCCACAATATAGCCTCCAAACAATTAACTAATTAATTAACCTAAAGCATACATGCACGAAGTACAAAAAAAAAAAAGAACACAACCAAGATGAAGTACATTAGCATGAAGGCATGAAAATCAACTTGCGCTAGCTGTGAAGGCCATGTCCGATGCCAGGGCTGTGACCAGGTGCTGTAGGCCTGAAGTCATCAACCCAGTGAGATGGTGGGGCTTGGGATGCTCCAACCATAGCAGCTGGTGTCAGTGGTGCTGCTGGTGGAGACAGCACATCATCAGCACCCGCTGCTTTAAAGTGAAAGCTACTACCACCCTCAACAACCTTTGCTGTTTCTTTTGCAAGAAATCTTTTGTGGGTCTGGTGTTTTTCCGAGTGAAACTTCAAATGCCTTCCCTCAATGGACTGGATTTCTAGTATGAATATGAGGGCAAGGAAGATAAAAACTGCAGAGACTAGTTTGTTTGGGGCCATAGTAAGTTCGAGATAAGTTAAGAGTGTATTACAAGTAGCTAACTAGGAAGTGACAAAGGGGGAAAGCTAATGAAGAAAGTGAGTTGCTTGACCAGTTTGAGAGGGGGAAAGATATGCAGGCAGCTTGCTAGACCCCTCCGTGACTGCAGTATTTATAGAGAAAATTCGAAGAACCATGTGAGCCGGTGGCATGTGCAGTAAATTTTTTAATAAAACAATGCAAGGAGAAATGGAGGTCTAAACAAAATTTTTAACTTTGAATCTACCTCAAAGAGCGGAATGACAAAGCAGACGCAGTACATCATTTCGCTAAATCAAGAGATGCATTTTTACGTCATGGACAAGGGGTAACGGCACTGCCTAGATTTTTTGCGTGTTGTATTTACTTAATTGCGTCTTTAATTTGGTCGTTCTCTCTTTCTCAGAAAATGGGCAAGCCTATTTCCGTTTTTTTCTTTTCATCAGCCAAGCCCATTTTAGTTTAGTTCACTATTTATAATGGTTTAAGTCTATTTTAATCTTAGTATGTTTTTCTTTCTAATTTTTTAGATATTTAATTGATAAATACTTTTTCTATGTGAGAAAAAAAAAAAAGAAAAAAAAACCAGCAACATTAGTAAATGTGCCCTTTATTTTTCGTGGAAGCCCTTTCCACCTATTTCTCGAGTAATTATTTTTACCCAATAACGGTTTTGGGTTATAACTAAACCAAAACAGTAGAGTTATATTAACATATGATATTATAAGTTTATAATTATGATATATTATTATATAAATAATTATTTTTCTTTGATGAGTCATGATATTATATCTATTTATTTATTTAATATCCATATCTTTCTTGGCCTTTTAACTAAGATTAAGTGTAATATTTTTTTTTATCAATTTAATATCATATCATTATCATAACTTTAATTATAATTCTAGGTGACATTGTAACTATAGTATTTTCAATCACCAAACATATGACTTGCAATGTAATTTCCACTCTCTCTCTAAAACAAAGGCATAGGTTTAGCTTGGTTAGGATCGTATATACTTCCTCTACTGTGTATAAATCTCATGCAATGACTTCCTTACTATATTTTTTTATTTTGTAATTTGAATTGCACTAAATTGCAAAATAGCTACAATTTAATGGAAGAGGAAAGCTCCAAATATTAAAGATATATCCAATAATTTAAATTGTGAAGTCTGAATTGGACAGCACCTTATTAAATAATTTTGAAGTACATATGGACCAATTCAAACTGTTAAAAATTTTAAGGTTTAAATCAACAACTTTTTTAGGGGTGTAGTTATGACCACCCATAATTTTGTTAAAACCACATAAAAATTCTTTAGTTTTATTTATATTTTATCAATTTATGGTTTTTTTAACAATTAATTATAATATTTAAAAAAATTAGTTTGAAAACTAATATTAATATGATAAATAATAAATATTAATTTATTTTATTAATTATCAATTATTTTAATAATCAAATTAAATAAAATTATGTAACCTTAACAAAATTATGAGTGGTCATCACCACGTCCCTTTCTAGGGTAGCATTGGTTTTTTTATTTTTAACATCCGATTACTGCGGAACTTAAGTAATTCAGATTTGAATATTGAATAAGGTCTCATTCTGTCTGGCGGCTTATAATGTTGAAGCTTCACATGTGCAGTACTTATATAAAAATTAAAATACTACGTCTTTGGTGGGAGAGGAATATGGAGGACCAGCTGGATCGGTTCTTTGCTTACCATACCCCTTTCTTCATGTTGTCTAAATACTTTTGTTATAAGTGTCTTTTTGCTCCTCCATTTTATATAGAACACAAAAACTTTAGACAAGCTTTGTTCAGCTTTTCCCACTATAAATGAAGAGTCTAATGTTTTGTAAAATATAAATTATTAAATATGTAGATGGTCTTTTTTTTGGTACATAATATGTAGATAGTCTTTAGTATTAAAGTGTCCTTATCTAATAATTTAAGTTACATAATTTGAATTATCTAATACTTCTTTTATAAATTAATTTGTAGGCTTTTGTATAAGACTCATTCTCTTCTTTTCCTCTTTAGGGGTGGTTAGGGGTGGGTACAGTTCGATTTTAATTATAATCAACACCAAACTACTTGTTAATTGTATGTTCGAGTATGAATTTTTAGCAATCATTAACTAAATTGAGAATAAAGGTTTTATAAGTTTTGGTTAATTTTTTTTAAAATAACCATTCGATTTGGTTTTGGTTTTAACCAAAAAAATTATTCTTGTATTTTTTATAATTCTTTCTAAAATTTTTTAATTGTTATTTTATTAATTTCAATTATTAATAAAATAATTACAACTTCTAATGCCAATATTTGCAATAAAAAATGCCACAAGTATAATTTTTTTTAACGGTGTTATAGGGATAATTTTTTTATATTATATTTTAATACAACTTTCATATGACATTCAATGAATAGATACATTGAATATAACAGGTTTCATATGAGTTTAAAAAATTAATTATTTAAATAAAATATTAAGTTGTACAAAAAAATAATACAAAAAAATTATTTTAAAATCAATTTTCTTTTTCTATAATATTATACTATATCGATATTAATGAATGGATAAATATTAATCCAAGTGTGATTCTTAAATAAAAACAACCAATTATAAAATATTACATCATATTATATAAATCATTGCAAGTACGGAAAAAATATGGTACGTTTATCATTTTCGATTTCTAATAACCCTTGTTGGAGATGCACGGAAATGGACGCCACATGGGCTCTCCACCCATGCAGAAGAAAATGGGTAATTAATGAGCTTAGAGGCCTCAATCAAAATGGCTCAAGTGAGTCGGACTCCTGATTGGGTTTGAGCTCTTTTCTTTTAATCATGAGTTCATAACCAGACATTCGGTCTATTCGGCCCAATGATCCAAAATGGGCCAAGGATCATTGGACCCATTTAACCTTGAACTGAATGCTCCTCCTAATGATAACTTCTACCATATGGAATATTGTGATTAGAGCTTCAAGATAACCAAAAATTTCCCTATATATATTTTTTTAATAGTCAAATGTGAATTTTATTGCTCTGGAGAACCAAAGGTACTCGTGCCCCTAACATGTAGATTCCAACCATCCACAAAACAATATATATATAGGGCTAATATGTTCTTAAATCATTTTTATATATTTTAAAATTAATTTTTCTTTGATCTAATCAAAGGTAAGTCATCAACGTTGAGAATAAGAAATTCATAATAAATTATCTTTTCATTGATTTCCTCAAGGAATTAAACTTTGATCAATAAAGTGAAAAACAAATCTCTTTACCAATTAAGTTATAATTCTTTAGGTTCTACGAAATAATATTATGCATGTCAATCACTTGAGACTCCTTCCTGATAAATCAATTGACTTTGCCCATAAAATTCAAGTCCAGTCATAGAATGAGAACCCGCAGCCTCTAGATCTATCCTTTATCCACAAAAACGATTTAATTTGAATTATCTCTAGTAATCTCTCAGCCATGGTCTCTTCTTCCTTAAAAATGAGTCTGTTTCGACATCCCCAGATATGCCGAGCTACTGCGACAAACAGAAGGTTCAACAGATAGCTGCGGCCATCATTCCACCAACCATGTGCTAACTGTCTGAAGGCATCTGCACACTTCCTGAAATAGCCGACTGCAAGCCCTCAATTTGGAAATGATTCTTTGCAATAGAATATCAAAATGTGTCTATGGTTTCTTTTAATTTCTTGGTGTACCGTTGACAATGCCCGACACTAGATTACCCGCGGAATAGAGATACTTTGGCGTCCTTTTTTCTTTTAATTCTTGTGTGCTACTTAATAATGAATTGAACTCAATTTTAAACTATATAATGGTATGAGAGTTTTTTTCCTCCCCTAATCTTGCTTTCTCTTTTTTTTTTTAGTTCTTTATTGGAGTTATTTTATTTTACTTTAGCTTGTACAATAAAAAATAATTGTTTTTTATTTTTTAATTTATTTTACATGTATATCATATGATTCGAATTTAATATCTTTTACTTTCATTAAAAAAATTATTGCTGAATTATTTAAGTAATTGATTTTTTTAAGTTATTTTATGCAACTTAAGGTTTTTATTGTATTGATAATCTTAAATAATATATATTTACCATTATCAATATATTTTTAAGTCAATTATTATATATCTCAAAATTAATTTTTTTTTCTTAAATAATTTTAAAAATACATTTTTTTATTTTAAATGATATCACTAAGAGTTAAATAAAAATGTAGCCGCTTGTAATAGATAATTTATGTATACCAGCAGGCATTTGAGTGAATGATTAAGTGATAAAGAATCTTTTTATCTTGTAACGCAAAAAATATTGGCCTACCATCGAATGGGTAATAATCTACTTTTAGTCTTTTATTTTGTTAAGTTTGAAAGTTTTAATCCATTATCTTATATCATGACATATTTAACCTTTCATTTTATTAAATTTGTAAGTTTTAATCCATCATCTTATATTATGATACTTTTAACCACTCACTTATTAAAATTGAAGAAAATAACTCTTATTTTGTAACATTTTATTAATTCTGTTAACTAACTATTAATTTTATTAGCTGATTGTTAGTTGATTATTAACAATCAAAAACTTTTTTTCAACTAACAAAATTAACAGAATTAACAAAATATTATTTCTTTAATTCTGTTAATTAATTATTAGTTAATTATTAGTTAATAAAAATCTACTTTCAACTAACAAAATTAATAATCAATATAAAATGAGGGTTATTTTTGTTTAATTTTAATAGGTAAGAGATTAAAACCTACAAATGTAATAAAGTAAAGAGCTAAAAATATTATAATATAAAATAATGAGTTAAAACCATTAAATTTGATAAGATAATAAGCTAAAAGTAAGTTTTTACCGCTGGAATGAATGCCCTTTGTGAAAATTGAACAATTTATTTGTGGTAGTGGGTTTGATTCTCAGCCGGAAGTTGGGGGACTTTGCGTCCCTTCCAGCTATCTGTCAAATTCAATGTCACATCAAGAAGATCCTTCCGTTTATCATATTTTTCTATTTTCTAATTAGGTTCTTTAGGACAATTATTCTTAGGAGGGTACTAAATCTTCCTTCCGTATGTTTATAAATTTTAATAGCAATTACAGCGTATTTAGTCTAAAGAAAATAAAAGGGAAGAGAAGTTATTTCACCTAATTGAATTAGACGATTGATTTATTAATTAACATATTGGTAAATCTTTGGGAGCTTAA